AATTTCATTTCATGCCTATAAAACATGCTGGGACTTCCTATTGGGGAGGCCGTATTGTTGGAGAAACAGGATAGTTGGATTAGAACTGGGCATAAATTACAGTGTTCTATCAAAATGATGAGTCGGGAAGTTCAGAGAGCAGCTGTCCTGGAGATGGAGAAGTCTCTAGTGATTTATCCCCTATAGAAATGACAGAAGCTCTGCAACTAAGAGACTCCTATGGACATTTCTTCCTGATATCTCACTGAAGAGTTTTAAATGAAACTCAAACAGGCAGTGGACTTCTGGAAAGATTAGTGGAAAATAAAAACCAGTGCATTCCTACACATTCTTTGGCCTCAAAACTAAAGAAGGACTGTAGCATTCTATCTATGAAACTTTCTTCTTCTACCATATAAGACTTGGGGGAAGGGGGGGAAGGGGGACTATCCGCCCAGCTCTAGTTTTAATAATTTGGGTATAATTCAGGATTTTTTTCAAAAAAGCAATTGATATTTAGGGAAAACATCAGAACATTCAGATTAAAAATAAGGATTACTGGTGGCAATTACATCCCTTTCATTTATACAGGTAATCCTCAGCTTTACAAACAAATTGGGACTGGAGCTTGTGTTATTAAGCAAAACATTAAGTAATGTTACATTAAGTAACACCTGATTTTATGACCTTTTTCTTGCGGTCATTTTTTTTTTTTTTTTTTGTAAATTTTATTTGAGTTTTCACAAAGAGAAAAAAAAATACAAATAAAACATCTTTTTTGAAAGCAGCATAATCCCGGGTTACATTTCTTCGTACAGACACAAATTCAGGTTCATGCTCAATTTTATATTCTATTCCATATCTTATTACTATTTTACATTTTCTGCATAGCTTCTCCCCTCTTTTAATTTTCTCAATTTTATTTTAATTATCTCATCTCAATTCAAATCATTGTATTTATATTTTTTGTCTGTCCTGTTTCAATTATCTATTATCTTTTCTCATTAATCAAAATTTCTCCTGTAGTTACTGATTGGAGTATGACGCCTTTATATCTTTCCCCTAAAGTTATAACACTCAATATAATACATAACTTGTGTTAGGGATATACACCCTAGCAGAATCTGCATGGCAGTCAGGCAGGCAGGCAGTATGTGAGATAAACGTTATTGTAGCTTACACTCAGTAAAACAGATACAATGTGCTAGTTAAATAGTTTATTCCAGTAAGATTTATAGCATAGTCAAACAGTCCATATATCATACACTAGTTCAGTCCGTCCGGGGATTAATCAGTTGCAAAGTCCAGTGTCAAAAAAGAGGTCAGTAAACTTACAAATATCAGTCCTGTAATATATCTCTTTGCAGTTAGAGATATGAAGAAGTCAAACCTCTTTTCTTCCTTCAGCAACAGCAGGGAAACACGCAGTTATCACACCATCAATCCATCATCGTCAGCAAGCAATCCAGTAAGCCAGCAATCAATCCAGTTCTCTTGCTCCCTCTTATGGCGATTTACAGCCGCACCCAAAATTACATGCTTTGCATTTAAAGTGACACACACTTAAATTCACTATCATAGTCTATATATATTATTTTACCCAAACTACGTTAGGTAACCTATGTTATTCCTAACAACTTCCATTCGGATTCTGCTTGGTACATTCTTAAAATACACACTGTATTCTTAAAAAAAGAAAAAAAATTATAAATGTATATAATTAAAACATTCCATTCCAATTCAATTCTATCATTAATATTAATATTCATTAAAGTCTTAACATCTTTAACATTACTTTTCAATTAAATATCATACTTCTATGGGAACAATTATAAGCTTTCCATAGTGAATCCCCCCCCCCTTTCACTTACATTTTATAAAACATTAACTAATTAAAATGTTCCCATTCCTTCCTAATTCAATTTTCTCATTTATTTTATTTCACTTATTCACAAACATTTCACTAAATTACACTATTTTATCCCTCATTTTAATCATACGTTGTTTCCAATTTTCTAAAGTTATTTCTATTACTAATATAACAATACAATCTTATGTACCTTTACAGAATCCCCTTTTCAGTTAGATTTTCACCCATTATCTCTAAATAGGTCCTGTTTCTCTATATCTTGCTCCGGTCCTTTGTGACTTCTTTTCCTTTCCTTCTTCCCTCTCTTCTTCTCTCTCCCCTTTTTACCCCTTGTCTCTCTACCTCTATTTCTCTCTTCTGTATTCCCCTTTTCTGTTGCTTTCCAGTATTATACTTATTTTTTGAATTATTTTTCTTTTCTTTGGTTGTTTTTTAAGTCTTAAATTCTCCATTCTCTTTCCCCCCCTTTCCTTTTTCTTCCCCACATAGAATTACTTGTTCATTAAAGATGGCTTCTTCTTTGTCCCAGTCTTCTTGTTTTGCAGTCTTGTTTCTCATAGTTCCAAATCTCCATTTCTAAGAATTGAAAGACGAAGCCAAAAGAACCCTTCCCTTCTTGTGCATCTTCTTTGTACTTTTTAAGTTCCATTTTCAATTCACCCAGAAGTGGTGCCATTGTATAAATTTTTAAACAACCACCCGATTGATTTTAGTCATTCAAATATAATAACCAAAAATCCAAAGATCACCAAATAATCCAAATACACGCAAGCTGTTTCTTTTTTGCTCTTTTTTTTTCACTTTCTCTTCCTGGGGTTACTATTTAGTTGCAAAGTTTCAGTTAAAATGTATCTTTTAGAAGTCTTGTTGAAGTTTTACTTTAAATTCTTTTTAATTCCAGGCAGTCTCCTCCCTCTTCCAGATCCTGCCCTTATTCTTTTTCTCTCCTTTCCTGCTTATGAAAAAGAAAGTTTTTAATGTCCAGAAATCTTTATTTGGCATTTTGTTTTATTTTCAGCTTAATTGCCTATTGATGTCAAAGCAGATTTTTCCAATTTCTTATTTAAGTCTCTTAGTTGTCAGTATAGGGAAGGAGAGAGAAGAAAAAAAAGCCAAACCTTTCCCTTTTCACTTTCCGTCGCTGCTTCCGACTCTTCTTTGGGAGCGATGTTATTTTTTGTAAGTTTAAATTCCAGGGTACCTTGGTTGTTGCTTTTACAATTTAACCCAGTCAGCCAAAACTTTCACTTATCTTCCTCCTGCACATTCTTTTCCGGTCGAGTTCTTCTTTGTGGTGGCCATTTCTGACCACCGCTGCAACCGCCTTTGGGAAAGGGAGTAATGGCCAGCTGAGGAGGAGAGATGCGGCTCTCCTCGACCCTGCTGGCGGTCTCCCCCCCTCTTCACTACCTCTACGGGGTGGCTTAGCCCTGAAACCAGCCGGCTCGGGGCGCTCCAGCAGCGAGCCCAGACAGAAACCGCGCACGATCGTGGATTTCTGTCTGTCGCCGAAGCCCTTCAAACCGGAAGTCCCTTTCTTGCAATCATTAAGAGAATCACCATGGTTGACAAACGGACCACACAGTCATTGAGGAAATCCAGCTTTCTTCATTGACTTTGCTTGTCAGAAGCTGGCTGGGAAGGTTACAAATGTGACCTAGGACACGGCAACCACTGTAAATATGTGCTATGGTTGCCAAATGCCCAATTTTTGATCATGTGACTAGGGGTACTGCAACCATCATACATGTGAGGACTAGTTATACATCACTTTTTCCCCAGTGCTGTCATAACATTGAAAAGATTGCTAAATGAATGGCTTTAAGTTCAGGGTTACCTGTATTATTCTTACCAAAATGTACTTTTCAAAGTAGCAAGAAGAGTGAATAGGAACAATGAGAGGGTTGAGCAAGGAGAGGAGTGATTTAGTCTGGGAAAATGGTGTTTTAAGAAGTTCCATGGAACTGGATCAGATAAAACAATAGAATTTTTTATTGGCCAAGTGTAATTGGACACACAAGGAATTTATCTCCGGTGGATAAACTCTGTACATAAAATCAGGATCATATTCATAAAAATACATCATAAAGCATAAGATACAACACAGTGCTAGTCATGGGATACTAAATAAGCTACATAAATCATACTAGGATACCAAATAAAACAATATAAATCATAAAATACAAGCAACAAAGTTATAGTCATAAGATAAGGAGCGAGGTAATAGGAAAGATAAGAACAGTAATTCAGCCTTACTAGATAAATGCTCCTCAAATGGAGCTTGTGCACATATGGGGTAAGCATGTCTGAATCCATCTTTCAATGTTTGAAAACCCATAATTCGTGACATCTCCTTATCTTCCTCTATGTCGGGGTGTCAAATTGGATTTCTTTGAGGGCTGGATCAGCATTGTAGTTCTCTACGGGCTGGGGGTAGAGGGGGACGGGATGGATGCCTCCTGCAGCACCTTGCTGGCCAAAACAGGGTGTGGGGGTCCGTGCATGGCCTCTACCCCCCATGCCTCATTTCCAGTTCTGTGGGCGTGGCTTGGTGGGCGTGGCAGGGGAAGTATCCTGTAAAATCTCCAGTCAGAGGTGCCGATTCTCCGAACTACTCATAATTTCTGCTACCGGTTCTCCAGAACAGGTCAGAACCTGCTGAATACCACCTCTGCCTCCGTGGCCTCCTGCAGCACTCCTGCTGGCTGAAAACAGGTTGTGTGGCCCATTTTCAGGCAGTTTTTCAGCTCATTTTAGGGGCGTTTTTCAGGCCGTTTTCAGCCCATTTTGGACCCTTTTCAGCATGGTTTTGGCTGGCAGAGTGCTGCAGGAAACCTTGGAGGGTGAAAACGAGGCACGGGGGGGGGGGGGCGCATGTGGCCCTTTTTAGCACTGAGGCACCGCACACCGGTCCCTTGATATTTCTAGGCTGGCCCCACAGGCTGAATTTAAGTACCCAGCAGGCCTTGAATTTGACACCTCTGCTCTATGTGGATGATGCTGTTATTCTATTGAGTGTTGGTCTTACTACCCTGGACCAATACAGTCCTTAGGGAGATCTGATGGCTAACTGTCCAAAAACCAAGGTAAAGGTTATCAAGAAAGCCTAAAAACATTAGTCAATGACAGAACAAGTTTAATTTTTAAAAAAAAAACATTGGAGGGGAAACACAATGGCAAAAGATGCTAGTTATGTTGCCAGTGTGGCCCAAAGAACTATTGCATCATAATCATTCCACACAAGGTAATAGGTTCCACCAGACAAAAGTTTGATTACAACTATTTTTTACGCTGCTCTTGATCCATGTTCTGACTTTACCCTGCTGGACTCTATTCAATCTAAACTCCTTAGCTCTAGATTCACTATTTCCAAATGCCTCTCAAATGCAACTTTTAGGCTAGAACCAGAGTGGAAAGAAGAGTTGCACTTTTAATCTTTCATTATTGGCTTAAGTTTATCTGACAGCCACCGGGCTGTTCTGTTCAGTGGTACTTTCCCACCCCCTTGGAAGAAATCATTTAAGCAAAAGCTCCTCGTGGCATTTCCCCAACACTTCATACAACCTTGTTTGGTTTCCAGTTAAAAAAATCTGATTGCCTGGTCACTTGAAATTGAGTGATAGTACAATTTGAAATGACTGCTCAGCTTTTGTAGTTATCAAAAGCAATTGGAAGAAGCCTGCCTGCCTATATTTACTCCCTGACCAATTTTGTTGGGGATTTACTCATTGTAACCCTCTTGCTTCTCCATTATTTCAGAGGAGGCACAGCAATCTCCCCATAGTTCATTCTCTTTGTCCTTGTGGCACTCAAGAGTTGGAATTGTTAACACATAACTGGTAACCCTTGTGTTAACATCCATTCGTTCAGCAACCATCCAATGATACGATGGCACTGAAGAAGGGGACGCTCGGACAGCCCTCGCACTTATGACCATTGCAGTAGCCTCATGATTATGGTCACATTCTGCCTCTAGTTCATCTCTGCCCTTTTGGTGCCTTTCACAGCATGGTGGAGATGAAGTGGCTGCTATATTCCCCTGCCACTTAATATTTGCTTAGTGAGAAATTCCGGTCCCAATTAGGTTCATAACCTGAGGACTACCTGTACTGCACATTTTATATAACCCTGTGCCAAAATCTTATCCTTCCGGTTCTAGCAGAAATTCCCAGTTCGTTTGTTGATTTTCTGCTTGCCCAAAAGTCTTTTTCTGCAACCCACAAAATTTTGTTGTCTAGCTGTGGGGCTTCAGCTGGGCAGCCATAGTAAGTTTGAGAATGGATAACTGTAAGTGTGCATTTGTGTTTTATCTATTTTTATTCTTGTTTCTATTGTTTGCTCATTAAAGCTATACGGTGACAAATAAAACTGATTGTTTATGGCACATCATGTTATTTGTCAATCAACACAAGTTCACCCAACCATCCATAATATGTATGATTATCATAATCTGGATGTAAAAACTATAGATGGATAAGAAAGGATTCTGTATGCTTCGTCTTTTCAATTTGAATAAAAGAAGCAGTCTGAAAAGACGAAGCATACAGAATCCTTTCAACCTATTGAAAGCAGGATATAATAAATCTTCTAAGAGGCATTTGTTTCTTTTGTCCTCGGAGTTCACATGATAATCCTGATTTCCTGTGGTTTTGGGCACACTTGAAGCAGGCTAGAGTGGCATAGTGGATTAGCCAAATCTTGGATCATTCTTGGTTAGAAGACAAGTCCATAAGGAAGTGGAGATATGGAGATTTATGGAATTTTCACAGGCAAAACCTAGTGCCTTTTATACCTCGACTATTGCCTTTCCAAAGTTGTCTCCTTGGAGCATTCCCATAAACGCAGCTGGCATGTTTTGGAAACCCTTGGTGATATCCTCACGCGATTTAATTTTTCCCTGTGTGAAAAGTGAAACATTAAAATGTATGCAGTTCTCCCTTGGGATTTACAATCTAAGAATATGTTTCTGCTCAAAATAGCAAGGGACGAGACAGAAGGAAAGCATTACATATGTGTTTTAGAGACACACCCATAGCCACGCATTACACTGGAGTACATAAAAAATCTATTCCTGAATGTATTTGAGAATAAAAATGCTGAGCAATATTCACACTAACTCCAGCATGTTCTTATCTGCAGACCAAAGTCTTTCCTTAGCCAAGTAGCCTGGCAAAGGGCAGCAAGTGAAATATGTGGTTTTTTGAGGTGATGGACTTGGATAAGAGAGACCCAGGTTGTGTATTCAATTGCAGAACTGGCTGGGCTGAATAATTAGTTCAATCTCAAAGGGTTGAACTTGCTATAAAATGAGGAGAGAATTTACATGGCTTCCTATCTTGGGTTCCCAAGAAAAAAAATGAGGTATCAAGGTCTCCTCCCTTTGGATTACACACAAGCACACACACACGGAGGGAGGGAGGGAGGGAGGGAGGGAGGGAACATCTCCTATTGTTAGCTTACCTCTTGAACCCATTTCAGTATTGCTTTCAGTCCTTCATTTTTCCTATCATTCCAACGTATGACTAAAAAACCTTCCATGTACAGCTGTTTCATGACCATGGGGAACTGCACAAATGGGCCTAGAAGAGAGTTTGGAGCAGGAAAAGTTAGGAAAGTTTGTCCTGTCACAGCCTATCTCCAGAAGTGGTGCCACAAACTTTCTTAACTTACCCAAAGCTTACCCAAAGTTGCCTGTGTCATGTTTCCTAGTTTCCAGCAAGATTTTGCCCATTTGAAAAAGAGAGACAGAGTGAGAACAGTATTTTCCCAACTATGGTGGTCGATGTAAGTTCATTTCGTAAAATTTTTGCAAGTGAAATTATATTAAGCCTCCAACAACTGAAGCATAGACATGAGCAGTGTCTCTTTCCAAATACAACCAAATGTGCAAATAAAACACAGCAAGGTTGCCTATATGTTGCTTGTATCCTTACGATTTATATTGACTGTTTCTTAGTATGATTTGATTGCTTATTGCACCCTATGACTATTATTAAGTGTTGTACCTGATGATTCCTGACTCTTGACAAATGTATCTTTTCTTTTATGTATACTGAGAGCATTTGCACCAAGACAAATTCCTTGTGTGTCCAACCACACTTGGCCAATAAAGAATTCTATTCTATTTCTATTTCTAATTCTATCAAAGCCACCCTTTGTTTTGTGATCCAAGGCTGCTCCTGAACTAAACCTACACTGATTTTCTTGTACACATACAGCCAATGTTGGTTTTGGCTGTAAAGTGAGATCAAGCAAACAGCAGCTCAAAAGATATGCGAGCATCATTGGAATGAGTTGCTCTGAACTAGACAGCTGTGACTTGGCCACATTTTATCAAACTAGGCCGCATGATTTTGCTGTTCTGCTTGCATGGGTTGGTTGTCTCATCCCTGTGAACACATGACTTGCTGTGCCGTTTTTGTAGCGCAGGTGACAAGAGTGTCTTAATGAAAACAGTGGCATCTCACATATCTGCTTCACAGCTCTCTCATCTTAGCTCACTCTTCACCAACGTACTGCATGTTTTTCCTCATACTTAAAGTGACCCATTAATAGTCTGTCTTGAACACAAACAGCCACGGGCAGACTATACAGTATGCAGGTAGTCCTCGACTTATATCAGTTCGTTTAGTGACCGTTTGAAGTTACAACGGCATTGGAAAAAGTGACTTATGACCATTTTTCACACTTACGACCCTTACAGTATCTCTATGGTCATCAAGATCCAGACGCTTGGCAACTGACTCATATTTATGAGGGTTGCAGCGTCCCCCGGGGTCATGGGATCCCCTTTTGTGACCTTCTGACCAGCAAAGTCAACGGGGGAAACCAGATTCACTTAACAACCAGGTTACTAATTGAACAACTGCAGTGATCCCCTTAACAACTGTGGCAAGAAAATTCGTAACACAGGGGGGAAAATTCACTTTCACAACTGCCTCGCTTAGCGATAGGAATTTCAAGGTTCAATTGTGGTCGTAGGTTGAGGACTACCTGTATAATCGTCTTTTCGCTGAGACCATGTTAAAAATTGGACCGAACAAAAAAATAATATGGCAAGGAAGGCATTGAACTAAAGGCAGGCAGATTTTAAGGTTGTCCTAAGCCAGGACTGTCAAACTCCCGCCCCACGGGCTGGATGCATCACCTGCTGGCCACACCCATGCCTGGTTTAGCAAAGCGGGGGGGAGTCCCGATACGTCCAAGTGACACAGCTGTGACAACATGAGTTTGACACCCCTAATGTCTAGTCCACATTCAGCTACAGCAGCTCACTGGGTGAGATGGTGTCAATCATTCTCTCTTAGCCCAATCCATCTCACGTGGTTGTTGGGGAGGACAATTAAAACTGGGAATGCAGTGTATGCTGCCTTGAGTTACTAAAAGAAAACGTAGGATATTATGCTGATAAACAACAAAAAGCCATGTTTTCCATCCCACATTTTTATCTATCTAGATCTAACACTTAAAACAGCCACTGTTGGTGGCATGTACTTATGAGGAAGCATCGGCATGTTGGGACAAATGAAATAACTGGGGAGGGGGAAAGGGATTTGCATGCAGAAGTCACTGTATCTTGCCTTCTAAAAGTGTAAAACATTTATTTCAGTCTTGTGCTGCAGCTGGGGGAAGGCTGATCTAGTTACCACCTGTTACCGAGTTAAATGGTTTAAAAGTAGCAGAATAAGATTTCCGCTGTTACTAAAAGTAGCTCAAAACACTATTCTTATTCTGCTATTTCTACTGCCTATAAATCCTAAATATTGCTTGGAGTTACCAGGTCTTCAAAGGTGGTTTTCCCTAACTGGATGCATTTGGGTTCAAACAACTAAGCTAAAATCAAATCATTTTCTTTATGGCTTGTTGTATTTCTACAAGAAATTACTGTATGGTGAAAATGATGGAGTAGCACGGTATCTCTACCAGATTATTGAGCAATTAAACTTTCCTGGCTGAAAATCAAAATTAAAACTCTTTGAAATGGTAGCTGACCAGCTGCATCTCCTTAACCCATTAGAAAGTTCAAGAGGACAGACATAATTAGGGACTGGATACCAAGGAACTGGTTTCACACAGGTATCACAGATCTTCCATGAAGAATATACAACTTTGGTCTCAGCAGGTTAAAGCACCAGACAAATCTTATTTGAGATTGGGGGATAAGCAGGATCAGTTTGGGTTAAAACGTGAATGGGAGACCACCAAAAATCCCATGATGGTCAGTTGGAATGCAAAGTTGAAAAGGTATTCAGGAAGACAATAGCTTTCAGTTGTGTTGGTAACAAAGGATAAAAACATCACTTGTGTCATAGTCAGAAGTCACAATTAACATAAAGGAATTTTCAGCTTTTAAAGTGCTATTATATATTGTTTCCTAATAATCATTTACTTCTCCATAAACTTCATGAGACTTTTAGAGAAAGATATTTAAGTGCTTTGATTTTTATTGACTCTGGTTTTCAGAACCTTCTGCACAAAATGGGTGGTTTGTTTTTTGGTTCAGTGTTGTGTGACTCTGGTCAGTCTTATGTGACTGGTTTTTAGCTCAGTGTTGTATAACTCTCAGTGTTTAGCAAACCAGATCCAAGGAATCACGTCATGACTGGCCTCTAGTGGCCTGATTACTCATGACATTTCAACCATGCAAGTTCACAGTTGTTGCCACACAGTTAGGTTACCCTGAATGAATTCTGTTTCAAAATGAAGGACTTTTGTTGGGGGAAAAAAGAAAAAGAAAAAGAAAAAGAAAAGAAATAAAGGAGAGAGAGAAAGAGAGAGGGAGGGAGGGAGGGGGGAGAGAGAGAGAGAGAGAGAGAGAGAGAGAGAGAGAGAGAGAGATGGAAGCTTGATCTATCCTTGGTGTCTATCCTTGGTATCCTTTCTATATTTATTTCTAGAAGCTAAGCTACGAAAGATTGGATCTGGTTAATGCCTGAATGAAAAACTAGTCAGGAACATTTAGAGTAGGGCAGTGTGTGTAGTTTTAGTGGCACCTGTAATACCACTGCTCCATTGTATTATTATCTCTGTGCTGAAACAATTTTGAGGTCATCTTTGTTCATTGTATTTTTTTGGTCACTTTTTAATCTGTCCTGTTATTCCCCTGCTTCCCCCCCACACCTTTACATTAGTTTGTATTTTAAGTTGCTTTTGAACCTTAATAAAAATATTTGAAAGAAACAAGAGAAGAAAAAAAGGGAGGAGATAGAGAAGGAGGAAGAAGAGGGGGGAAGGGGAAAGAAAAAGGGGAAAGAACAAGAAAGAGGAGGAGGAGGAGGAGGAGGAGGAGGAGGAGGAGGAGGAGGAGGAGAAAGCAAACAGCATGCAGAATGAAAAACTGTACCTTTCCTGAGCTGGGTATCATTATATAAGGACACAGCACCACACACCGCAATTCTCCCATATGTCTTCATTTGCTCCAAAACAACGCTGGAAAATTCTCCTCCCACCTGGTGGAGATATAGACAACACAACATTTGCCAAGACAAAAATACTCTACATTGATGACTGATCTACGTGGAATTGTTTTGAAAGAGCTCCACTAACACCCATAATCTGTCCTTAGAAACAGAGATCACAGGGGGGAAAAATGCAGGGTTTTGCTTCAGGAATTTCAAGCACTTAAAACATCTCCCAATCAGAGGAAGCAGGAGTTCACCTGTAATACGAAAGCGGTGGATTTTCCATTCCGCCACAAAAGTTTCCCTTTCCCTTTTCTTTTTGGTAAATCTGCCTAAAAATTGATCCGCGTAAACTGCAGGCAAGTTCTGGAAGCCCAGAACAGGCTGAAAAAAGACAAGAGGAATTTGAGCTGCCAATGGATAGAAATACTCAGGTAACACCTTCACTGATTTTTCTAAAAAAAAAAAAAGGCATCAAAAGACAAAATTGGGGCATAAATACTACCACCGCTTTGATCAAATATTTTGGTAAATGTAAAATGGGGCAGGGGGAATTACCCCCTGAGAATGAATAAAGATACAAGCTGTTATGAACAGGGGTGGGCCTCAAAAAATTTAGCAACGGGTTCTTAGCCCAGTTGCTGGATGGGCGTGGCCAGGATGGGCATGGCCTACTCGGCCTCCTGCACCACAGCGGGGCAGGTGCTTTTTGCCTTCCTTGGGCTCCGGAGGCTTTCCTCGAGCCTGCGGGAGGGCAAAAACGGCCTCCCCGGGCTCCGGAGGCTCTCTGGAAGGCAGAAATAGGCCCATTTCTGAACTTCTGGGAGGCCCATTTTTCGCCCTCCTCGAGCCTCCGTGTGCGCCCTGCACTTACCTGCATCCAAAACAGACCGTATGGGGATTCCTGGGAGGGGTGGGGTGGGCGGGGCGAGCCAGGAGTGGGATTTGGGGATTCTCTGAACTGCACAGAATCTTAGCTGGGGGCTCTCCCGAACCCCTGAGAACCCCCAGCAGCCCCATCCCTGGTTATGAGTGAGCAAGGGGGGGGGGGGTGTCTTCTCTGTGCACTTGTGACTACATACGTCAACTCCACCTTAATCACAGGATCCATTTTTCAAGTTTGTTTTGTGTTTGAAATAGTCACACAAAAAGTGTCCAAAGGTCAAAATACTTTGGGAATGATAAGATCAACCCCTTTTTGAACACCAAATAATCATTTGGGGCTTCAATTGGATCAAATTCAAAACATTTACACACACATCCCAATAGTCTAAATCAGGGCTGTCAAACTTGCGGCCTGTGGGCTGGATATGTCACACACTGGCCACGCCCATGCCCGGTTTAGTGAAGGGAAAAAAAGATCATGATACGTCACGTGACACTGCCATGACAACGCAAGTTTGACACCCCTAGTCACGTAAATGGTTCAATCAGAAAAAGAAAACCACTTTTTTCAGAGGAAGGAAGAAGAAAACCCTAACAATTCATCCAATTTAAAGTAAGGGCAATCCTTTGGGACTCAAAAGTATGCAGGCAGTCCTTGACATATGGCAGTTCATTTAGTTACAGACTGTTCAAAGTTATAGCAGCACTGAATAAAATGACATATGATCACTTTTCACAGTTACAACTTTTGCAGGTCCTCGTGTTAACATGATCAAAATTCTTGGCCACTGACTTGTATTTCTTATGGTTGCTGTGTCCCAGGATCATTAATAACTATTTGTGATTTTTGACAAGCAAAGGCTTTGACAAGCAAAAGAGAAACCAGATTCACCTGATAACTGATTTACTAACTTAACAACTGCAGTGATTCACTTAACCATTAAGGCAACAAATGTTACGCAGTGGAGCAAAACTCACGGAACAAATGTCTCAGTTAACAACAAAAAATTTGGGCTCAATTGTGGTCCTGCATCGGGGATGGCCTGTACCACATAGGCCTTGGTTAATGGCCATTCATTCAGTGACCGTTCCGGCAACCAGCAAGTGGTACTTACGATGGGTTCTCATAGTTATGACTGCCACAGCATTCCCCACAGTGATGGGATCACAATCGGGGTGCTTTGCACTTTGCAGGTATAATATTGTAGCATCCCGCAGTCACAGGATCGCTATTTGTAACCTTCACTTCTGGTTTCCCTCAAGCAAAGTCAATGGGGAAACCAGAAGGAGGTTACAAAGAACAACCGCACGATGTTACGGTTAACAACGATATGACATTCATTCAGCGATGGCCACCGGAAGTTCTGGAACTGCTGTAGCTAAGCCATGCAGTGATGTGACAACCTGGCCACTTAGAAACAGAAATTCTGGTCCCAGTTACTGTCGTTAAGCAAGGAGTACCTGAGCACAACTAATATAGGTGCACATACGTAGACACAGACCACGCGTGTCCTTCATTCACACCTGCTCATCCTCCTCCCATATATTTACAGGTGCTCAGAAACATACATATACAGGTAGAGGAGCAAACCTTCCAGCTGCACCCATATAAGGAAGGTGACAAAAACATATACAATTGCTTCAAAATGGAAGCAGTATGCTCCATCCCGTAATAGGGTAGATCAGGTTGCTCTAATAAAAAACACGTAATTTTACCCCTAATATAACTGACAAAGGGATGAGAGCCCATGGCTTAGAGGTTAATACATGTACCTAATATGCAAGGAGCCTGGATTTGAATCCCAGAGGAGTATGGCTAGCTGATGAGAGCTAAATAGTTTGAAATAGATCTATACTAATCTCCCTTTATTTCTTTGTCGGTAGAACATAAATTTAACACTTGCTTTAATGCTTCATGCCTACACTGAAAAATGTTATCTAGAAGGGGAAATATGGAGTTGCCGGCTTACCTCCCAGAGAAGCCAGTTTTTAAAACCTTAGTTTTGTGATTATTACCATTAAGTATGCACTATGCATTATGCATAGGATGTGGTGGCTCAGTGGCTAAGACGATGAACTTGTTGATCAGAAAGGTTGGCAGTTTGGCGGTTTGAATCCCTAACACTGCGTAACGGAGTGAGCTCCCGTTACTTGTCCCAGCTTCTGCCAGCCTAGCAGTTCGAAAGCATGGAAAAATGCAAGTAAAAAAATAGGGACCCCTTTGGTGGGGAGGTAACAGCGTTCCGTGCGCCTTCAACATTTAATCATGCCGGTCACATGACCATGGAGACGTCTTCAGACAGCGCTGGCTCTTCGGCTTTGTAACAGAGATGAGCATTGCCCCCTAGAGCCGGAAACGACTAGCACTTTTTACCTTTTTATGCATTATGCAAGGAGACCGGTGGTGGCCTGCCTGGGAGAGAGGAATGCAAAGGGTGAGAGGTGTATCCCAAAATATAAAAAAGGCTGACTTGGGGACTGCAGGAGAGACTTAAGGATGAAGGGCTGCTTTTCTTTGCCATGATCAAAACAAGCTTTCAGCACAGGAAGTTCCTTAGATCAGCTTCCCTTCCTATTTTAGGCCAGTTCGAAATTAACCTCTGTCTTGTACGTACGTTATCAAAGTAGCAGTTGTAGCCATCGGGGGAAGCATCTTTCAGGGCCTGCTCCAGAGATTTCACCGTCTTATAGTTAAAGACTTCGTCAAAGCCAAGTTCCTTAAGGTAGTCCAACTTCTTATCAGAACCTGCAGTGCCAACCACTTTACAACCCTGCCAGTTTAAACAGAAATAACCATGAGGGCCAGGTTCCTTGGCAAGCTATGCGAGTTTCTTCATAAACCTTCAACAGATAGCGATGATAGGCAGGCAGAGATGGACAGGAGGCAGGTAGGAGAGATCGGATTGGATTCATGGGATTAAATTGGGTAGAGATAGCTGGGGAGGTCGGAGAGAGAAAGAGACAGAGAGAGAAACGTTATCACAATATATGCCAGCTGAAAAAGGATGAGTTACCAAGTAAAAACCAAAGTAATACCCAAGAATTATAAAATCTGGTGTGGTTAAGGTGTAACATGCAATAAAACAAAAAGCCCTTCTCTGTCGTATTTCTTTTCCCCTTTGTTTACAATCATCATATTGGTTTTGCACTTTATTTTTCCCTTTCTTAAATGTTTTTTTAGATCTTAAGTCCTTAAGTCCTTTAGTTTTCTTCTTTTCTCTTCTTTTCTTTTCTTTCTCTCTTCCTTTTTTCTGGATCAAATTCTGAGATTCATTAAAGATGGCTCCTTCCTTTCTTTCTTGTTCCTCTGCTGTCTTCATCTGTTGTAATTTTTGTTGATAATTAGTAAGCGCCATTTCTAAGAAAAGGAAAGCTTCTTCCACACCATCTTTACCATTTTTTTTTGCTTGTTCATATTCTTTTCTTAGTTCCTCAACAGAAAGAGCCATTATAAATCTTTTCTTTTCTTTTCTCCTTCTTTCTTCTTACAACAACCAGAATATTCAAAAGAAAATAAAAAAGATAAAACAGTCCCAAAGTTATCAATCAGTCCAAACCAAGACAGAGTTCTCACTTTCTCCTTTTGGGGTAATATCAATCAAAGAGAAAGAAAGTCCAAATCTGTTTAAAATCTTATTACAATATATTCTAGTCTTCAAATCCTTAAGGCATCTGCTCCAACAAAATCTTAGCATACAAATATTTTCTTTTTAATCCTCTCTCTTCCCACTCATCGCTTAAAACCAATTTCCACCTAAAAAAATAGGTTTCTTAATATCCAGTTATTTATTCCGTAGGAAAAGAGGGAAAGCTATCCTTTCAGCACCTTCAAGCAGCCGCTTTTTTCCTCTTCTGGCAGGTATTATTCAGAAAGTCATACTTTTCAGGAATTTTATTAAATATGTCTTAGAGTCCTAGGAGCCAAGAAAAACTTTCTCCTCTCAATCACTTTCTCCACTTCCTCCTGCGCATTCTTACCCGGCTGCCAGCTTCTTTGTGGCGGCCATTACGGACCGCCGCTGCACCGTCCTGGGAAAAGGGGGTTCTGCCGGCCAGGGAGGGGGTCTGCAACACCCCCAGTCCCTTCTCCGGATCCCCCCTACCTTCAGCTGCCCCTGCAGGGCAGCCTAGCTCCGTACCCGTGTGGGTCGGAGCCCCAAAAACGGCTAGCGCGGCAGGGATCGCGCAGCTTCGCAAATTCTTTATTGCTTCACACCTATAGAAAAAGCCCGCCACACTGAGGAGTCTGCTTTCTGCACCTCAAATATACTCTGTGAAGTATTAGGGAGGATCTGTCCCACCAATGGTGGGATTCAAAAATTTTACTACCGGTTCTGTGGGCATGGCTTGGTGGGCATGGCAGGGGAAGGATACTGCAAAATCTCCATTCCCTCCCCACCCCACTAACCTGCTTTCCAGCTCCATTCTCCTGTGCAGGGCAACAAAAGAAGGCCCAGCCAATCAGCTGGGACTCAGGAGGCAGAGAATAGATGGGGGCGGGGCCAGTCAGAGGTGGTATTTGCCGGTTCTCCGAACTACTCAAAATTTCTGCTATCAGTTCTCCAGAACTGGTCGGAACCTGCTGAATACTACCTCTGGTCTTCACCCTCTTTCTCTCACACATAATATCTGGGCTGAGCTGCTCTTACTCCTCTGGAATGCACCCCGCCCTCCTGGGAATCCCTACATTCCATCCCAACGGCACTTGAAAGAGTAACACCAACTTTTTATGGAAGAAGCTTCCACAGATAATGTAATTACTTAATTGCAATGAAGACACAGCTAAATGAAATTTGCCTACTGTAGCAAAACGTATCAAAGCCATATGGAATAAAACTATGTTGATAGGGTTTAAAAGGCCTCTATGGAGCGAGTGTATTGAAAAGATGCTCTATGGAATAAGTGTTACCTGACATGGTTGAGACCAAGTTGAAAATAAATTTTAAAACAACAGGCTGCAACAATGACATGGAAAAAAGATGTTATACTAGACATACAAAATAAACCAGGTGAAGTCTTAATAATAAAAGTGGATACACAAAGAGGATTTATTCAAGTTTATTCAAGTTTTGCAGAATTTCGTAGAAGGGGACAAAAAACATTTTAAAAACCATGCTTTTGGACATTATCTGAAAGGGCTGAAGATCAAAAGTGTTGAAGAAAAGGAAAGAATATGAAGTTTTGTTTATGTGATCAAAGTTAAAATGGATATGTTATCTCTGGTAATGATTAATGGACATTAGCTAACCTCAGGACCAAAATAATGATGTTTTGTGAATTTGTTTATACAGTAAATAAGAGGTGGGATATTGAGAAGAGAGGTCATTGATTATTGAAGGGATCATTGATATTGAAGGGACATTGAGAAGAGATAGTGTAAGAGTGTAAGATAGTGTAAGATAGTGTAAGAGAAGGCCATAAGTTACTAAAATAGTTTATACTTGTCTTGAAATGGGAAAGTCGCTTCTTTATGTATCTTAATATATTTTTAATTTTTCTTTGTCTTTTATATTTTTAATAGTTTTCTGTACCTTTTCCTCACTTTTTTCTTTTGTATTAATTTCTATTGTTGTAAACTGTAAGCCTTTAATAACTATTAAAAAGAGTATTTTTCTGGCCGCAAAGAATGAACTTTTCTATAAAGCATAGACATCCTATAGGAGCCACAGTGACATCCCCAAAACATTATAAAAATTATAAATATGAGAATAATGTAATTGGCATAAGTCACATCATAATGTTTGATGTGAAGGTTATACAGTGTGTAGTTGGGATCAGTGAGTGATGCTATCATGAGAAGTGTGATGTCATGTATCATGTTCCCCCATCCAATGACTAAATGGGCATGTTGCAAATGAGGTGATTATGTGCAGAACCTTCTTTGCAGTATCAATCAATCAAGGCACATGGAGGTAAATAGACCAGAGACAAGCAAACCAGATCTTTTGTAATTCTTATCCATTGATCCAGCTATTGGAAGTTGAAGTCCAAAACATTTCATATCCACTTACCATAATTTTAGCAATCTGCCCAACCACGCTGCCCACAGCACCAGCTGCTGAATTAACTAGGACAGTATCTCCTGGTTTGGGCCTGCAGATCTCAAGTAGGCCAAAATAGGCAGTAAGACTGCAAGGAAAAGAAATTAAAAGAGTGTCCAAATAAACGCTGATGCCATGACATGTCCAAAACATAAAAACCGAACAGGACTCAAATACGAACATTCACCACTAATGAGAATAACACACAAAGACTGTCTTTACAAACGCCACAGAATAAGTGGGATTCCTCAATTTTGAGGATTAGCAAACACAATGGGAATTTTGAAATAATACAGGTAGTCTTCAACTTTCAACAGTTGTTCAGAGTTGCTGTGGCACTGAAATTTTTTTTTGAAAAAAAGTGACTTTACGCTTTTTTTTTTTAACACTTATGACCGATGCAGCATCTCCATGGTCACATAATCAAAATTTGGATGCTTCACCACTGGTTCATATTTATGATGGTTGCAGAGTCCTGGGATTGTGTGATCTACTTTTGGGAATTTCTGACAAGCAAAGTCAATCAGGAAGCCAGATTCACTTAACAACCGGGTTCCCAATTTAACAACTGCAGTGATTCACTTAACAACTGTGGCAAGAAATCTTGTAAAATGGGGTAAAATTCACTTAACAACTTTCTCACTTAGTAAACTATCCGCCATATGATTTCCAATACTTTAGCTAACCTCAGGACCAAAATGATGAGGTTTTATGGATTTGTTTAAGAATAAGGAGATATGGGAAGAAGAGAATATTGTTTGTATTATAAGAGAAGATGCTAAGTTACTAAAATTTTTATACTTGTTGTCCTGAAATGGGAAAGTCACTCCTTTAGAACTGAGTACACACACACACACACGCGCACACACACATACACAAACAAATAAAATACTCCAGAGAATTTAAAAATTACCAAGAGGAAAGATGGGAAGGAAAGGGAGGGAAGGGAAGGAAAAGGAAAAGGAAAGGAAAGGAGAGAGGAAAAAGGGAAAGAGCAAAATTAACTAGAATGTCCTTTGGAACAATTCAGCTTTAACATTTCCTGAATATATTAGCCAGTTATTAGCCAGGATCCGTATTAGGGACACCTATCTACCCTCTCATATGATCTCCATCATCTCACCCATGTCTGTCATTCTCTGGGCAGATGGGCCAACTTCCAAAAAATTGGAATGCAGCCTCCTAGTTACAATATAAAGATGGATCAATAGGAAAATAGGTGGCTGAAAGGACTAAAATTCACTGTATGTTATCATTTAAAAGAGAATGTTTACACAATTGTATGCCATTGATATATGACGCCAGGGAAAAAACTTTCTAGAATATATAAAGGTGTTTCAAAAACATGTTGAAAATATGAAAACATGAATTTTTATTATGCTTGGTAGATCTGCAAAAAGGTCAGATCTGTAAAAAGGTCAGAATTTTTCAGGTTCAAATATATACGATACAAAGAATTGTAAAGATTAGGATTTAACTGGAAGCAGAACTTTTCCTGCACAGACAACTAGAAAAGACTTACTGTTTTCATACATGGTAAATGCAGCAGTGTTATTCTACTGTATGCATAAAACACTAAAATATCCACAAAGGGGGAATGGTTGGTGAAGATGACAAAATGTGCAGGGATGGCAAAATTGTTTGATTAAGGAAAAGGCAATAACTATGTTCTGTAGAAGAGCAGGCAGAGCTAGGGTGGGGTGAGTCAAACATGTCATCAGCTTAGAGTCCTTACATTGCCACAAATGATCCATATCCAGCCATCTTAGAATTCAATTAAACCTTATCTAGCACTAATTTAATTAATTGATTAGATTCTTGTGTGTAGGCTTGAATAAATCTTCTATGTTGCAACCTGACATATGATTCTGATCCTTCGTGCCTGACAACCGTTAGTGACTGGAAACCCTATGTGTACTTCTTGCTGAAAGAAGAAAAAATGAACTTATGAAATATGGGTCAGATGATTAGAAAGAGTAGCATATGGAAAGAAGGGACTTGGGATGCAAGGTTAGGAAGGCTAAATATAAATATGTTTATTATAACTGCTGTAAATTGCTGGAAGCTATTGATTTGTATCTTTCTTTTTATTTATTTTTATTTCTTTTCTGTTTACTTATCACTTTTACTTTAGATCCTTTTAAAAAAAATCATATTGTTTTTACTTTGCAAAAAAAATCTTATAACAAATTTAAAAAAGAAAATAAAAAAAATAAACACACTCAGGTGGGCCATGGGACCTGATGAAGGACTCAGAAAGACATTTCTGGACATGTTGATGTTCAGGGACCCTGCATCGGTATCAGGGAATGAAGAGTTAGGCTGACAACCTCTGAATACTAAGTAAATACAGTACCTTTCCTAGGTAAAAGGTATTTTTCACATAGGCTCCCTGATTGTGGAACCATCAACCTTAGCTTTTAGGGCCTATGCAGCACCCCATTCAGCTCAAGCCCCATGTAGCAGAATTCAAAGACTGGGTTACAACCCATCACATCAACTCCATAGGGTACATGATTAGGGTACACTTACCCTGGCATGCCAATTGTTCCAAGAGCCAATGACTTTGGAAGATTTTCTGGCCAGTTTGGAGGCAGTGGCGATAGATCTTTGCCATTGGAAATAAAATATGTCGTCCAGCCCGCAGTTGCCACAACAAAAGTTCCTACAGGAAATGAAGGATTTCTGCTTTCCAAAATCCTTTGAAAAGAACACAGGTACCCAGTTATACTAGTTTCTACAAAGAAACTCTATGTACTTCAAACATAACCAGTTTTTAATCATTCTTTCTAAACATCTATGAAGGGGCAATGTAACTCTAAACCATTGCAGGGAATGTTGATGTCGAGAGTGCTGTGAGACTGTCCTAGGCATATTTCAAATCATTTTTATTATTCTGAAAAGTCCTAAATGGCTTTGAAATATCTAAAGCAGCATTTCCTTCCATCATTTGAGAAGAGGAGGCCCCAGAAGAGAAGTTAGTTACAGTCCCTGAATTGGAATATTTTCAATATCAAGTGAAGAGCTTTTCAAGCCTTCAGAACTTGATTTTATTACTTGCATTGTGCTGGGAAGGTTTTTTCCCCCCCTGAATCTTTTGTTAATGTTTATTCAGCTATCCTTGGAACAGCACTAGCGATACAGCTTGCTTTACCATAGGTACTATTTGAACATTCTTAATTATGCACTTGTTTTCTTCAATTCGGACAAAGCCACAAAGTCTATCAAACTGACAGATCTTATTGACTGTGTATTATTTACTATTTATACTGGAGCCTTAATGAGGACCTTGTGCAATTACTTTTATTCAGCTCACACCTGTTTCCAACAGAAATCAGACACAAATGTGGGTGTTTTATTTTTTGTTTTATTGCCCAATGCCCAACCTCAACTTCACCTGGAAGAAAGGAAGACCAGCAGCTGGTAGAATAGGAAATAAATCAAGGTAGACCTTACTTTGCAACTTGAGACCCTATCATAATGTCCCCTTCTTTCATGAGTCTCTTGCTGTATGGTCTGCAAAACAAAAATGAAACAAAAGTAAATGTATAATTTTTTGTTTAAATAAAAACAAAACATTGGACCAATTAATGACTGACATAATTGACAGGCTTAGTTCACGATAGGGAAGAAGGACATAAATGTGAGTGATTTGACTTGGACTCAAGTCAAATCCATTTCACAATGAACATAGGGCAGAGCCTGGCCTTTATGAATTGTTTGTATCTAGCTATGACAGCAATGCAATACTTCGATCTGCAGCATAAGCTGCTTCCTGTGGCAACTTTTATTTAGGTCACAGGAAAGTACATAATTAGACATTAATGTAAGTTACAACAAATTCAAATTTGGAGAAGGAGTTACTTGTTCAGGACACAAAGTAGGTACCTGTTTGTGTTACATCAAAAGCCTTTTAGTGTGTTCAAACATTGATTAAATGTTCTATTCTCCAGACCATGAGAAACCAACAAAAATATGCCAGTATAATTTGCTTTGGCTAAATGTCTAGAACAGCAGGCTTAGCCATCCATCATATCTTTAAATAATAGCATTGCTCTCTTGAACTTGGAGTATCTCTTGCGATAGCAACTAGATCAGAATCACTCTAAGCAGTAGATCAGGACATCAAATCCCAGTGTACCATGCAAGGAAGGGCTGGTCAAAGGACAGAGAAGTGTAGTTTATTCTTAATGATGGTGGCTTACTTGCAAGTGTTAGAAAAAGCAATTGATCAAGACTTATCTGAAATGATTGGCTTGCCAGATTAATGTAGAAACAAAAGGATCTGCCTACAGATAGTCTCCGACTTATGACCACATTTAAGTGAAAAATTGTCTGTTGCTAAGCAAGACAGTTGCTAGGTGAATTTTGCCCCATTTTACGACCTTTCTAGCCACAGTTATTAAGTGAATCACTGCAGTTGTTCAGTTGTTCACGTAGAGGCATGTCTCTAGCATCCCAAAACAGCCAATTTCTGGCCTACAGCAAGCCTTATGTTGGGAAAAGATGCAAAATACCATTTCCACATTTTAGAGAAAAATTTGAAGTTAGCCAGCCTTGATTACCGGTTGGGAAAGAGACGAAGGCTGCGTCATATGCATGTGCCCATAAGGTTGAATGAGTAAGGCATCTTTTGGCCAAAATTAGGAACATGTGTGTATACTGTACTCCGTAGGATCCAATCTGGGTTGGTCCCTGGGACCAGCGGTTTAACCAGAATGTGTCTCTCACTCCTTCGGATGAGAGAGAAGTAGCCTGAGGATGGGTTCCAGCACAAGTCCAAAAGCTCAGAAGATTAAACCTCTGGTCCCAGGGACCAACCCAGATTGGATCCTGTAATATTATCCTTGGGACACATATATCATACTGTCTCCTGCTAGAGAAAAGGCTGTTGAGATAATAATTGGGAAATTAGGAGAAAAGGTCAATGGTCAGAATAAACTAGGGTTTTGGTACTGAAACACAAAGTCAAACAGTAGTACCTCATATAGGGGTCAACACTGAGAAACATACTTTCAAGCAGCATCTCTGAAACACAGAAGAAAAGATTATGAAAGATCAAGTTAATATATTACTGGAGAGAGAAATACCATTTGATAATTTTCTAATTTCTTTTATAGGAAACCAGGGAGGAATGGACAGAAAATGGGAGAAGTGTGCTCGTCTGGAAATGAAACGTATGTCCATGAGGGAAGGAGTTTCTTTATCCCACAGTATTTTACCGGTTAATAAAAATGTGTAGTTTTTATACTATTTTTTGTTAAAATTCTTATTACATATCTTAAGAAAAATAAGAAAGAAATAGAAGGAAATACATTATACCAATAAAGAGATGGGAATAGCAAGGAATACAAATTTCAGTGTATTTATTATTTTTTATTCATTCAGTTTGAGGACTGGGGTAGAGGGCAAAAAATTAGAAATTTTGGATTTGGAGGAATAGATAATAAAATATGTCCAAAAGTGCTATTTTCTTCTAAATTGTGTGATGATTTTCTCAGTGAATTTTTATGGCCAAATTATGTAAGAGCAGATCATTTCAAAAACATATTTCCTAAATTCAACAACTGAACTCTTAAAACAGTCTTTTATTTTATATATTCACATCCAAACACTCTTGGCTCATGATTTAATTAACTAGCTTTCAATGATATAGTTCCTCACTTTCCAATCTTGGCTTCATTTGTCTTGTTTCCACATTCATTTGTGAACTTTAAAAAAAATCACCAGTCATATATTCATTTTCATGATTTATCTGCCCGCTAAATCTATGTCTTTGAAGGCATTTGTCATAATGCAATTTTTCAAAGCAATTTTCTTAGTGCAATATCTTTAATATTTTCTGCAAGATATGTGTGGGTAGGAACCATCATTTAAAAAAAACACTAGGACAAAAGTTGTTGACATGGGAAACTTGTAATATAAATGCACAATCAAATGATTCCTCTTACCTCCATCTTTTAGATTTGGTAGGTTTATCTCTATTAATTCAAAGTTGCTCTGCTTAGGAGGCCCTTCAAAATGCTTCTTCAGGATCCAAGCCTTTGCCCGCAACATTTTCCACAGCCTGAATGATTAAATAAGAATTTGGCAACTTTATACCAATAGCACTAAGGCTTATATACCACTTCACAGTACTTTACAGCCTTCTCTAAGAGGTTTACAGGGTCAGCATATTGCCCCCCAACAATCTGGGTCTTCATTTGACTGACCTTGGAAGAATGGAAGGCTGAGTCAACCTTGAGCCAGACAGGATCAATCTTCAGGCAGTGGGCAGAATCAGCCTGCAGTACAGCATTCTAATCCTGCACCACCATGGCTCTTATCGTTCCCTTAGTGCAGTAATTTCCTGAAGTTTAGTTTCGTAAAGAATTATTGTTCTCCTGGCCAAAGCTGGCAACACCTTTCACTCAGAGACTAAGAAAATCCCAGATTTGTTATTTTAGTTCTAGAACAATAGATGTCCTCAGTGCAGGCAGAGGGACAATCCAATTCATGACACATGCCCTTCCTTATTCAGACATAGCCATCAAGAGGATCTTTCCCCTCCCCCACAAAAATCTGTAGACTTTGCCAGTGGTACCAGGGAATCCATTGTCTCCCAGTGGTATTCCTGCCCATGCATGAGCACAATAAGAAGTGATAATTCTAATATTATTTTAAACCTCATGGGACATAGTGTATAGTCAAGAAAGTTGCCTTTTCCCCCCCTCACAAAAGTACATTTGCAACATTAAAGGAAGGGTGGGAAAATTGTAATTCCCTCAAGTTATTGCTCAACCGTAACTCAAAGAGTAACCATACCGGGACCAATAGCAGTCAAGACTCCAATACATTCAGATGGGATATTGCTTCGACACTCAGGTTTATAAATCTGGATAGAGTCATATCCTCCTCATACAATGTGAATCTCATTGTTCAAGATCAATCTTCAGATCAGTATTAAAGTTCTGAATAATAGCAATAGCATTTAGACTTATATACCGCTTCACGGTGCTTTACAGCCCCCTCTAAGCGGTTTACAGTGTCAGCATATTGCCCCCAATAATCTGGGTCCTCCTTTTACCAACCTCGGAAGGATGGTTGGTTGAGTCAACCATAAGCCGGTGAGACTCGGCAGTCAGCAGAAGTAGCCTGCAGTACTGCATTTTAACCACTGAGCAACCACGTCTCTGTATACTAGGATAGGATGTGCCAGAACATTTGTCCCTTACAAATACAGGTAGTCTAGTCCTCAACTTACAACAGTTTGCTTAGTGACTGTTCAAGTTATAGCAGCACTGAAAAAAGTAACTTACAATCATTTTTCACATTTTATGATTGTTGCAGCATCCTCATGGTAACCTGATTTGCATTCGGATGCCTGACAACTAACTCACATTTATGACGGTTGCAGTGTCCCCTTTTGCGACCTTCGGACAAGCAAAGTCAAGGGGGAAACCGGACTCACTTAACAACCATGTTACTAACTTAACAACTACAGCTATTCACTTAACGGTGGCAAGAAAAGTCATAAAATGGGGTAAAACTCGCTGAACAAATTTCTCACTTAGTGACATTAATCTTGGGCTCAGTTGTGGTCGTACGTTGAAGACTACCTGTATACAGTTAGAGCTGATAAAATGAAAATAGCAAGTACATTCAATCCCACGTTTGCATGCATATTAGTGGCAGCCTCAGCAATATTAGTTCATGTCTGCTTTTTTCTTCAAAGCATATGAAAGCTCCAGGAAACACATTCATATGACTGCATGCAAGTCAGTGCCCAACATTGCTTTCTGCCACAAGAAAAGTCACTTTGGTGAAGAAAAATGAGAGAGAAATAAGGTGGGAATGCTCATTTGAAAGGATTCCTCCATGAATGTTAAGTCAAAATGGTCAGAAGTCAACATAAATCATGATTTGAAGGTAACCCTATTAACAGAAATGTAGGGTTTTTAAATTTGGATTAGCATGCTGTGACCACAGCTATGTTTTTTTTTTTTTAACTCTTACTTTATGGCTTAGTGTGATTTGTGAATCAAGCAAATTGTGGCATGCTCAATGAACCATGGTTAATCTGCAGTCTATTTTATTTTATTCAAAAAGTTAACATACATTTAAAAAATAAAAAATAAAAAATAAATAAAAAGTTTCTTATGATATGCAAACTCTTCCTTAATTTCAACAGATATTTCTCCTAGATTTTGTTACTTTTAATACTTGCTTACCTTTCTCCAGCTTATCCTATACCCACTCCCCTAAAGGTCAGAATCCGAGTTTGGTGGTTTGCTTGCAGACGTTTCATTACCTGACTAGGTAACATCTGATGTTGTTACCTAGTCGGGTATGGTGGAGCAGCGAGAGAGCGACTGAGAGAGGAACGAGGCGGGAGGAAACCGAAGCTGCTGAGCCAGAGAGCAGGACAGGCTTCGGTTGCTTCCTCCCTCCCCTTCTTTCATTTGTGTCCTTGATCCCCGATCCCAGCAGCATTCACCGAAGGCGAAGAAAGCCGCCATTTTTTTTTATTTTCGGCCCGGTATAGAGTGCTCCACGGACCGGTACCGGTCCGCGGCCCGGTGGTTGAGGACCCCTGGGCTAGATGATCCCTTCTAACTCTGTTAATCTATATAATCTCGCTAATGATGATAATGATCCCACTACAAACAAATGCGCAGGACAGCATCGCTCTGAAACCGCGTGGCGCCTTGATATTAAGTTTCTGCATTAATGTCAAAACTCTGAAAAAAGCTCTGTGTATATGTATGTGTGTGTGTGTGTAAATATCTACACGAATCAGCCAAACATTCGTTGTACAAGACAGCCACGAAGCTCTGTCCGAGTCCCCTCGGGAGACAAACCCAGACTTTTGATTTCTGCCGTTTAAACACACACACAGACAGTCACACACACACACACACACACACACACACACATCCCCATCTTCTTAAGACAGGTAGCGTCCAAAACCCAACACATCTCAACGAAAAGTCGCCTGTCTCTGCTTGGGCTGGGGCGGGGGGGGTTGGACTAGATGACCTACAAGGTCTCTTCCAAGTTTTGCTAATTTGATTGTTTCTATTGTTCCAGTCCGCCGCTCAACCGGATCCCCGCAGCTCAGCCGACTAACCTGCGCGGCAGCCCGAAGCAGATCCTAATGTCCAAATTCCCCAAGCGGATCACTTCCTTCTCCTTTCGGCCAACCGCTCGGTTTGCAGACGGGCGGGGGCTGGCTGGCAGCCATTTAAACTCTCGAGTGATTTCTCCGCAAAGCTCCGCGTGAAAGCTACCCAATTAGCAATCTGTTGCGGGAAAAGGCAAGGCTCTGGTGGCTTGTCTGCTTCCTGGTCATTTTTGCAGACGGCTGTCAAAAGGCCCCAACATCAAAACGCCCCAAGACGCCTCACATCAAAGCGAAGACCCGCCTCGTTTTAAAAATTATCCGCCTGTACAAACGAGATCGCCCACATACAGATGAAGGGAGCCTGTAAAAAGGAACACATTCTCGAAAACAACTACCCTACGCCCAGCCCCAGGGACGTTTCTTGCTGTTTGCAAATATATATATATAGAGAGAGAGTTCTATGTTAAAACAATATTTGTAATAGATGAAAAGAAGAATTAAGGGGCGACATCAGTGCAGTATTCCAGTATTTGAAGGACTGCCACAAAGAAGCGGGGGTGGGGTGTCAAATTATAAAGCACCTAAAAGCCGGACAAGAAACAATGATTGGAAACTAATCAAAGATAGAAGCAACCTTGGAATTAAGGAGAAACTTCCTAACAAGTGAGGACAATTAACCAGTGGAACAGCTTGCCTCCAGAAATTGTGGGTGCTCCATCATTGGAGGTTTTTTTAGAAGAGACTGGACAGTCACTTATCTGAACTAGTTTAGTTTCTCCCGTTTTGAGTAGGGGACTGGACTAGAAGATCCCCCAAGGCCCCTTCCAGTCCTATTCTATTCTATTCTATTCTATTCTATTCTATTCTATTCTATTCTATTCTATTCTATTCTATTCTAAATGGAAGCTGTGATATGCTGCAAAAAACACATGTCCTGCTAGGATTTTTCCAAGTCTATCTCCAGGCCCCAATAAACTTGACAGATGGGGGTTTCTTTGGAAAAGTATAGCCAAAATATAAAAGTTACAATTTTGGGAGATTGGAAAGAGCTTCACCAATAGGGGCATCTAGTAAATGATCGTTTTTTGTTTGGCCATGACTGTCATTTTCTAAATAACTCTCCCTTTGGCCATGATAAGTAAGATAAGTATCTTCTGTAAAATAGTCCATACCATGCTTGCACCAACCCCCTAAGCTTGCTATATATTTTAAATATTTTAAAGGGCTAACTTGATTCTAATATTGTTAGCATCACTGCGTCATTTTAGATCAGAAGTCTCCCTGCTTTCTGACAACCTGAGGAGAACTCCATAAAAACTTGCTTTTCTGAGAAGGCTTATCAGAGGAGGGGGGGGGAGAGGAGGAGGAAGAGGAGGAGAAGGAGGAGAAGAAGAAAAGAAGAAGAAGAGGAAGAGGAAGA